AATGTGTAAATTTTGAGTGTTCTGGACTGCTAAAGGATATTGCGATTGATTGCGTTTGAAATATTTCGTATTTTGTTGAAATTAAAAGTTCAACAGTTGGCAGCAGTTCGCCGCCGCGACGCAGTGTGGCCAGTCGCCGCTAGGTGGCGCTTGCGCAGCACCAGGGTGTGAGTGAAGTGCTCACCTCACGATTTTGATACCTTCTCAACAGTGATTCAAATATCAGATGGTCAAAACAAGTGCGGTATTTTTAGTTTTAGAGTTGCGGAACTAAGCCTGCGAAGTTTCGAGAGTGTCCGATGAAAAAGAACGAAAGTGATATTTGGAATGGTTTACGTGTTTACTTACGTAAGTTGGAAAGGGGGGGTGGGTGGTTTGGGAGAAATGTAATAAGGTAACTATTGACTCTGATTCATCTTCACAAAAGAAAACGAAAACGTTTTATGCTCCAAGACGATCGGAATCGAAATGGCACAGTTATGTTCAAATGTTCAATAAAGTGTTTAATCGCCTCTAGCGGCCAAACGGTGCGTCGGAGGTCAATTCTGACGGCAGTTTTCGCCCTTAACCCGAAGGGTTGGTCGTACATCGCCGAGACGATCAAAACGCACCCCTCGAACGTTCAATTTGGAGTTATTCCCCTCCAAATTGACAATTTGGTCGTTTCTGCATACTTTTACCTGTTTGGGTTCTATTAACTCTGCCATTTTGACTCTGATCGGTTCCAAGTATAAGACATTTCCTATTTAATTTTAAAAGAGGAATCCAAATCAATTTTCACAGTTAAAATTTGATGAATTCTGAAAATTATTATTTGATTAAATTTAATGGTTAATGGTAGAATGACTGGAAGTCACCTAATCTTACAGTAAGATAAGTCTATACATTTCTTAAACACTCAACTTATTTTCACAGCAGCTGCAGACTTCAAAGATGACGAACAATATTAAAGCCAATATCGCAACTCAGGGTTGGATAAGACTTTCGAAATCAGCTCAATGAATGTAATTTTCTTAAATGTACTGGCTTTGGCTGGAGTCATATTATGTTAAATGATACTCAAATAAAATGGTAAAAGCATTGAAATTACATTCTATCATACAATGTATTACAGGACATTCAATCAATAGACTTCAGTGACTCGTAATCCTTAAAACGCCTTGAGGAGATTTGAT